TTACTTGATTTCAAGATATATGTAAGCATTTGCAACCAATCCAAAACTGGATGACTCAAACTAATTATGGATCTATTGCTAAAACAAAAGCATTCATGACCTAGATTTCTGTCCACTTGGCCAGTAGTTCTCAATCCCTGCTCTGAGGATCCTAAGTGTTCCTGGAAACTCATCCAGAGTCACAGTATTTGGGGAAGGTGGGGCACTCCTTTACCGAGACAATTTTTTGCTTAACTTCTTAGATATTGCTCTCTTTTATAAAGCTTTTATTTGTAGACATAGTAAGCTTCAAAGAGTTTGAAGTCACTAGACTAGACCACAGGATAGTAAAATCAGTTAAAGTGTATAAAATATTTTCCCATGTGTTACTTCATTAGCTTGTTTCAAGTAAAATGTGAGCTCTACTAGCAAATACACATCTTCTTCACCACTGTACCCAGTACAGAGGACAAATTACACATGGTTATGCATAAAACAATTAAAATAATGAACACGTGTGTTAAGTGAATAAACAACTCCGGAAGATAGGCAGGGCAGGTATTACTTGGTTTTTATCAAAAAGGGAAGAGAAGCTCAGAAGGACAACAGATTTATACACATAATCCAAGATTACCACATCCTGATTCCTAATACTTTTGGGATCAAATCTGGGAAAAGAAGAGAAGGAAAGAACAGGGGACAGGGAAAGAATGAAAGAAAAAGAGAATTTATTTTGCTTTTGCCTACCCCACAACTGCCTCTCACATACTTGAGCAAAAAAGGATTAACTGTAGTAAAGAAAGAAAAATGTTATTTTCATTTATTTTACCTTCATTTTTGAACAAAAAGATTGACAGTGTGGAATAATAAATGTTATGTTCTAATTAACAATGGTGCGTGGGGCCATCATACTTCTCTTTCGTACAGTAAAAAAATTCTTTTTCATGGCACCCTGTTGCGCGTGGGTCACCGGCCAGCAGTGACCATGGAACGCTGTGGATGGCTCGACGATAAACACGCGAGAAAAAACATGCACAGAGACAAACTAGTTTCTGTGGAGAAGTAGGGACGAAATGGCCACCCCCCCTAGTGGGGAGCGCGCTGATTTACCGTCCATACCTGCTTTTATTGGGCTCATGCTACATAATAACTCAGGTAAAATACAATACTCATTAGGGGAAGTAAGGAACTATAGAAAACAAAGAACTCTGCCCGTCTATTGAGTTGGGGGTCAAAGAGCTGTAAGATTGAGGAACAAACTAACTTCCTCCTAAGACCCTTCTCATTCAACTGAGAGCATTCTAAACAAAGAAGGTTTCACAGTAATTTACATGTTCTTTCTTAGGCCTGATCACCCCAGGAAATCCGCACTTCCCAGTACCGAGCTGTACTACCCTGTCATTGTTTCAGGCTTAGGTGGAGCACGGGAACTAAGGCCACCGAGAGATAAGGAGATTTTCTTCCAGACGCTGAGAACTCAGACTTTGTCAAAGCCGAGGAGTGAGGGTCCATCACCCCCCTTTTGCTGCAGCCCCCCCAAGTCCTTCTTTTGGGGGGCCTCCCAAAGTGATCGTGCCTGGCTTGGGTCATTCCCCCGTGGGGAATCTTACCCGTCTTTGGCTAACCGACCAAGCTTTTTTGGGGTTCAGCAGCAGAAGCAGCATTCCTGCCAGGAAGATAAGCTTTTATCTCCTTGCCGGCTCACGGTTCCAAGGGCGTTCCCTTAGCTTTAGCCTAGGCGGGGGTTTCAGCCTCTGATACCAGTCAGGGCGGTTCCCAACAGCACCCCCCATTTTACAGGAGCTTTGGGCAGTGAGCACGTGTCTGAAGTGCTGTTCTTTCCTCCAGGTGCCATTGCCTTCCTCTTCTCCGGGGTCCTTTAACCATCTGGAAGGGGCTGGTTTCTCACTTCCTCTTTCTGTTGGTCTGGGACTCCCCTGAGCACTCTAGTCGATCCTGAGGTGGCTCCTGTATTATCCTTCCCTGGAGTTAGGATGGTGGTAGTCAGTGAAGGAAGGTAAGGGTTCAAGGAATAAAAATCACACCAGGTTTTGTTTTGTTTTTTACATATCAACCACATTACACTTAGACATCAACCTTAAACCATATAGACATATGTATTCTTTTTTTATTTCTATGATATTAAATTTCCACAAACCTCTGCACTTAAAACAGCACAAACTATTATTGTGTAGGCCAGAAGTCCGGTATATCCTCACCTGTCACTGTATATCACTCTAGAAAACTTTTTTCAGTCTTCTTTTCAATTAGGTGCAATCACACGATTGATTGCCAGATTGATTGTCAGCCAATGAGTGGCTCCTAAAACTCCCCCTGCATGCATCTCTGTGCTCTCTCTTTGGCCTTGTTTGCCTGTAGGATACAGAACAGTTGAGAGGTCGTGCTCTTTCTTGGAATTTACTTCCTGCTCATTCAGGCCATCAGCAGATTTCAATTTCTTTCAGTTACAGGACTAACGTCCCTGTTTTCTTTTAAGAACTCAGTGGCCGCAGCATTCCTTGATTCCTGACTCTTTCCTCTGTCGTCCTGGGCAACAGTGGTGGGTTCAGTCCTCAGACTGCACTCTCTGGTCTACTCTTCTTCAGTCAGTTTCCACTTTTAAAGACTCCAGTGACTAGACTAGACCCACCCAGAAAATCCAGGATAACTTTTCATCTCCTTAGTTTTTAGTAACCCTATCTGCAATGTCTTTTTACCTAGGTAAAGGGATATATTAAAGATTCTGTGAATTATGACATGGGCATCCCTTGAGGAATCGTTATTGTGACTAACACAAAGAAAACAAATGCTAAAGAGTCTACAAATTTACTTATGTGAATGAAAATAAGAAAATATAGAAAGACATTTTTCTCTTTCTCAACAGTCATCATTTATAATTACATCGAAAGACCTAAAGCACAACTGATATGCATAGCTTCTTGTAACTCTTGGCCATTACTTTTATGCTCATTTCCAGATAACATGTTTTATATTAGATTATCAAGTTAAAAAATACATAGTTATTTAATATCAAGAAATCCAGAAGTGCAATAAATAGGCACCAGAAGGTGTGTCTTTCGGAAATCTGAAGAATGAAGGCAGGGGTATGGATAGGTTAAGGATAAGCACTAAATTTTTTTTCAGATTCCCCCCCACACCAAACTTCTTTAGGAGACAGTCACATAAGATCATACATACGATGTTACCACTTGCATTGACTAACAAAGCTAAAGGCCAGCCTAAAAAGGAAGATGCATGTGAATCAGCAGAAAAGAAGGCTAAATTAAGAACATCAAAAACCAAAAAATCACATATAACATGGCCCTGTTCCTGCAATATCATTTGAGAGTAACGTCCATATCAGGTTCAATGCCGACTTTTATCCCTGTTGTGCACACAGCACTAAGCACAGTGACTGGCATATAGAAAGTATTAAGTAAATAGTAGTTACCTTCAAATTAATTGTTTTGATTAGAGTTAAGCAATGTTTATAGAATTTTCTGTGTAAGATGCAGTCATAAAAATCAGTCATGTTTTCATTGTTCTCTATAATTTTAAAAGATTTAAAATAAAGTATTTACCAAATAGTGACACGTGGAACATTGGTAAGACCTGGTAGGTAAGGTAAACACTTTGTATCAAGAAAAACGAGAGAATTTTTTCTCTACTATTTACATTAAATCATTACCAATCTGATGGTACTTAATTATAGGTTTTTGAGTAAAGACTTATTTCTGACTTAATGAGCCCCCCAAAGTATTCTTTACATAGGTGCATAGTAAATGACAATAGGAAAAAAATCTTAGGTATCGTGGTTTTCATTCATGTTTAGTGTTGAAATCATGTGGAATATATTGATAATGTAATGCAAGTGGTTAGGAAAAAGCTAAAGCTATTGAAAAAGTTCTGCAACAAATCTTGTTTAACTCTTTAAACTTTTGAAAATCAAGTTGTCCTGTGAGGTACTGACCCTTCATCTCTGAGATTTTCAAGTAACAAGCTGTATCATTGTTAGTCCAACAATTGAAGCAGAGTTCTGACATTCGGTAGGAGAATAACTTCTAAGACTCCCATGTCAAAAGTGTTTTCTGACAATGTTCTGTTTCTTGATCTGGGTACTTATTGCACTTGTAATCTTATGTCTAATATTGTTCACTTATAATATGTGCTCTTTTTAGCACATCTATTATTTCAATAAAAAATCTAACAAATCTGTAAGTCAATTACTTTTAACTGTGAGACAGGCCAGTTGTTTACATAGGCTTCTTACCTTTCTATACCCATCTCTATCTTTATTAAGTGAACATAAAACTTCTCTTAACTCCAAGTCAGTGAACATCATTCGCTCAAAGTTCTGAGACCTTTCCTGTTAGAATTTCAATTTGATAGTCCTACATGATGGTAATAACAAATCAGCTTAAAATGTTTCTTCTTTTCAAAGAACTAATTTATAGAATATACAAACTATGAGGCCCTCCTATGGGAGATTTTAAATTTTATTTCAATAATCAAGTTATTTTTTCCCAAACAATATTTGACAGAGACCATATGAGAAATGTAGACCATCACATACAAAGCTTATCTAGATAAAATCTCCCAGAAGAACTGGTCTGAGGCAGAAGCTGGGGAAAACCACTGACCTAGTGCAATCTTCCTCAATTAACAGAAAATACACCAAAATCTGGAGATGGAAAGGGCCTCACCCAAACTGAACACTTAGAAAGCTGGTATGCTGATAAGACCTAACTTTTCATCTGGGCTGTTTGATTTTGGATAATTTATTTAATTTCTCCAAGCCTCAGCTTCTTCAGATGTAGAAAGGAGGTAGAAATACCTACTTCCATGATGTCAAAACAGTAAGAGGCAGTGTCTGGCACAGACTGGGTGTTGATGAAAGGTAACTATCATGGTTAGTCCAACTCTGAAGGAAAAGCACCCAACTCTGCATAAAATAAAAGAGCAAAAGTTACAAATGGTAACTTAGACTCTAGCTTAAAAGTGTTCTCCTTGGTTTGTTTCAGGAAAGCAGTAGATCATCCAAAAAGGCGATTTGGTACCCCCATGGATCGGATTGGTGGAAATCGGCTTTCAAACTCCAGAGGCTAATTGTTTCCAATCGTAAGTACAATTTGAATATGTAACAATACATGCAAGCTTTTGATTACTATTCCACAATGGACCAATTGATCCATCTTAGTTTATAAATCCCTCTTTTGATTTCCTAGCTTATAAGTTCACATTTTCAAACCTGTCCATACTCAGTTAAGTATATTGATGCTAAACAATTTAAATGATGCTACAGAATTAAGAGAATGTCCTTCACTATGAAAAATTATTTAGGTATTGTCACAGACTCCTATATAATTATTGAATATTAATATGCAAACAAAGGTTAAAATTCTAGTTAGCATAATAAATTACCTTCACAAGTATACATAATAAGTACCAATCCTTCTATGATAAAGACACATTCTAGTGACATACACCATTTTATTGCAAATAACATCATCGGAATTATGATAACACAGAACAGAGGAGAGAGAGTGGTGTGGCAGAAAGAGTACTAGCCATGGAATCAGAGCACCTAATCCAAATCCTGGTTCTATCATTCATTCATTATCTTGTTTCCACTAAGATAATTTACTTCTCTATAGCTTGAAAATCTAGATAATAGCACAGTGGGGTTGTGAAAGTTAAATTAGATGCTAGAAGGTATTGGACATATAATACATGCATATGGTAACGGCTTATAAAACAGTTCTGAAAATTTACTTTGTGCTGGACCCTATACTTAGTGCTAAACATGCATTGCTTCATTTAGTCATCTTGTTCCATAGGTACTATTACTATCTCCAATATCTCGAGTAGTAGTACAATAAAAGGGACAAAATGCCAGCCAGGGAGATCAGGCTTTCTGGGTTAAATTCCAGGCCATCGAATCCCAGGTCATCAGTTAGATGTGAGACCTTGTTTAAATTCTGAAACCCTCCTCCATAAAGTGAGAATTACAATAATTTCTAATACATTAATTGTCCTGAGGACAAAATGAGTTGATATACATTAACCACTTAAAATAGTGCCTGACATGTATTAAGTAATAATCATTAGTTATTAGTATACAAATAAGTGGAAAGCTTAACTATATTAACTCACAATGCCACATAGCTAGTAAGTGATACAAGTAGAATTCAAATCCAGAAAGCTTAAATCCTTAACTTTATTTTAAACAATGTATTTAATCATACATAGTATATGTTTTAAACACTAAATGTGCATTAAATATAAAATCTAATCGAGGAATTTTGTGACGTGAGAGCTTAGAGAGGGTGCACCTTCCCTCCCAAAATAGATGAGACAGCCTGGAACTGCTCTGACTACTGCAAGTTGTAGAAGAGAAAACTCTGCTGTTTGCTCTTCTCAAGAAAATCCTCAGATCAATGATGCAGAGGCCCAAGAAGCATTGCATTAGCCCTGACCTAATTTAAATCATGCTATTGTTTTTCTCATCAAACGTTCTAAACCACAATAAGTCAGTATTTTACCTCAACTTTCTTGCTTTCAGAATGACTAAGTTAAAATATTTTTATGGGGTCACCAATCAATGAAATTATTATGAAGTTACTGTATGTTTTCATAAATACACGAGGACTTAGTGAATATTGCCAAGAACACTACCTTCTGAGCAGCACCATCTTCCAACCTCATATTCAACTTTGTATTTAGTAATGTACAAAGTATGGTCACTCTTCAAGGGTTGTTAAAATCCACCACATCATATGTGAGAAGGAACTAATTGTTACTAAAAATCAAGTAACTCCTTGAAATCAGAGCCACAATCTTCTAGTTTCTTGATATATTGAGAATGTTATGACACTTGGGATTTAAATAACCAAGTTTGATTGGTTTCCACATGTACCCTATCACCTTAGCCACCCTTGGTCTTTACCCATTTTAGTATTTCTGAGCTCGACCAAAACAGATTATATGATAATAAAAAATCATACAAGGAATTAATTTTTATATAAATTTTTACGTGAAGTTTTAGGCTGTAAAAACTCCAGATAGCTACTAAACTATGAAAACAGGTGTTTACAGAATCACTGTTGGGTAAAATTCGAATTACTATATTATGTCCTTCACTTAACAGACTTTGTGGGGTGTCATGACAACCACTGTCTTTATTAGTAAAATCTTGAGACAGTAATAACATGCAAAATAAGCTCAGAAAAGAGCTGAACATCATATATGTTCTTTCTGTTTTGTCAATCATCGTGGGTTCAGCTGCTCAACCATTACATTTCAATTCTTCGTTTCCTGCCACTCTCACCAAGCTCCCTCAGATATTTTTTGACTTCCTCATGTGAAGTTTCATGTTTTATAGCTCATGGATAATAAAAGACATGAAATATATATTGCTAATTTCCATTCAACTTTTTTTTCCATTCTACTTCCTTTTGTCACAATTTTCTTTTGGATTCAATAGGAGATGTATGTATCTTCTAATAGATAACTTAAGAGTCATTATAATAATCTCTAATGACTTAGTCGTGAAATTAAGTCATTAGAGATTCAAGAACATAAATCCAATTTTAAACCATTTTTTTTCTTTTTAGCGAAACAGTATAGAGGGACTGTGGGAGGAAATTGATCTACTGCAATTTTAAAGACACTTAGAGCAAGACCCAGAAGCAGGTCTCTGGCCTTCTAGGCCAGCATTCTCTTTATGACCCATAAGGTCTTGGGGGCACTAAATTGTCGTTGCTATTTTGATGTCACTGGTTACACATTTCTAAAACAAACAGAAACACTATCTCAGACTTTGTGAAAATCTTGGCTTCACTTATGTGAGTGAAGATGTATACCCTTTGAGAGCAGGTTTATTTGTGGGTTTTCACCTTCTGGGTTTCACTGTAAGTGTTCACACTAAAAGTGAAACTAGTACTAATCATGGAATTTTGCTTCATTAGAGGTCAAGTCTAGAAACAGCTGATGTGTGTTATTTAGTTTTCAGGAAAAAAAAATGCTGATCTCTTCCCTGATATGTGTTTTAGAAAGGACAATAACCTAATATTTACACAACATTCTCCTCAAATCATTAATCTATTGGAATCAAGATTTGAAAGTTTAATAGGCCTCAGTTCTAAGTAACTCAAATTCGAAGAGGTATTTTGTCTTGGGCTCGTAAATTCTATAGATGAAAATAACAAGTTCTAGGTCATTGCCATTGAAATCAGGATGCTACTTGATGAAATTTCATAGAAATATCACCATTAATTGTGCTACCCTTGGTTGCCACATGCATTAAGACTTTTAATAATGCGAGGCACATGTTGCTATATTATACTGGCAATTTTTGTTTTAGAACAACATCAATATGTCATCATTCAAATAAATTAACATACCTCAAATAACAAATATCATGTTATAATGCCACTATTTGCTTGGATTCTTAACACAGAGCAAAATGTACTACAAATATCAACATGTTATCATAACAATAAAGAGAAGGTAGTAGCCAGATTTTCTTACCTTTCTTTTGTTTGTCTTGGAAGCATCCTTTGAACCAAGATTAAAATCTCAAAAGGAATAGATTATAGCAGGTACCCAACTAAAGGAAGGGTGGCTTGAAAGCAAGTGCCTAGCTTATATATTAAAAATGCTCTTTTTTAATGCATTTGATCAGAAATTATCATTTTTCATATTGTTTTTTGCAGTAAAAAATATGCCACATAAGTAAAAACCATAGTGTAACATCAAGAAAGTAGATTTTTAGCTTTTCTCAACTGCCGTTGATGGATTTCCCCTATCTACAGAGTCCTCCTTAGCTTTAACCATTTCAACTTTCATTTTTACAGATGTGACTTCCTTGGGTGAAATGTCACAGAAACATGGAAGATGCTTCCTTTAATCATCTTTAATGATTAAACTTTAAAGGAACTGGCCTTCTGCGAATTCTTTCCGAAGCTTGAACTTAGGTCCATCACATCATGGTATTGTTACAGCTTCAAGAAAATTTTGCAGATCATTTCAATGCATGGATATTTTTAAAATACATTTTAGTTGTTCAGGAATGGTTACTTGGCTCCAAACCTTACTTTTTTAAAGAAGCAATCAAAAAACACAATGCAGTGAAATGCTTTCTATATGCAGTTACCTTTTACATTTATGCAGTTGAAGAATAACTGAAGACTAATTTGTTTCTGTAAAATGTAGGCGCAATCTCTTCATTATTGGGGAACAAGGAAAAAGACAATGCTGTGTGTTTCTCTTAAATGCTTTCACTTCTTTCTTATCCTTTGTCTGTGGGCCACTTGGGTAATAATTATGAAATTAGACTTCTTATATTCAAATTTCAGTTATTTTCAATTAAAAAAACACTCATCCCCAGTTCTAGGAATAAGTGAAAAAAGATCTCTGAGCAAAGATAAAACAGCAGTAATTAAGTCCACAAATTTTAGCCTCCCCAAACCTGAGAAAACACCTGCAAGTCAGGACATACTGACTTGGAGTAGGAAGTGAAAGACATTACTCATTGGTTAAGCTTGTATATCCTGTATCCTCTAATAACTTTCCATGTTCTCAATTACAACTGATTGTTAATTAAGAGCTGCAGTGGCTGATTATGAGGAGAAAAACTACATACAGAAGTAACAGATCAAAGTATTGGGAAGTCAAAGAATATCAAGTAGTAGCTCACCAGAGCAGTCTGGGGCTGGTTAAATGTACATAGTTTTAGCTCAGTAAATTTTAACATGGTACAATAAGCGATCTTTTTGATGTTACCGACTCACCCAAGAAACTGTTTAATCTATTCCATACACTGTGTTTAATAAGGCATTAAAGAGTGTAATGGGTTTGAGAGTGGTTTCTTTAAAATGATCCAAGTTATTTTTAATTGACCTATCAAAGCATGAAGTTTGGTATTCTAGAAAGCTTAATTCTCAGCAATGTTACTGTAATTTAAGCATTGTGCATTGGATATCTTTTCAGAATACAAAGATAACTTATTCATGGACCAGAGATTTACTATAAGTTTGGAGAAGTTTATAAACTCTCTGGAAAACACTTCTTTAAGCCCTGGTAATCACTGCCAAAGAAACCTGATATGAGGGAGGACAGATGTTTGGCCAGGGGAGCAGTGTTTATTTTAGTGTAAAATAAAGAGTGTTATGAGATGGCATATTCATGCTGAAAGAAGAGGAGAGATTTTTAATCTTCACTAAAAATTAATAAATGTGTGATCCAAAGAATAAAATGAACTAAGAACATAGAAGGGAACATACTATTACTTAGAATACAGAATGGTTTTATATATAATTTCTTAGATTTAGAGAAGATTTTCCAACTGCTGAAGCCTTTAAGTTTAGTAAAAAAAGAATAAATGAATGATTCTTTTAATTGTGATAGAGGGGCTATAGCAAAGAAAAATGAATTTTGAGAAAGCACACCAATTCCAGTTTTCATACACTTGCCTTAGAGAATTAGCAGTGTTACACAGGTGAATATCCCACAGAAGTCATTATTTGAAAGAATTATTTAAGAAGTTATCATTTTTCTTGCCCACCTTTCATTAACCTTCTAAAACATTATAGAAATGTGTCCTATTTCTTGGAAGTGCTTTATTTTCTTTTTCTCCCATATGAGAATTTGTAAGCTTCCAATCCAACTGGGTACAAGTGCTTCATGCTTTGACAAAATGTTTCCAAACCTAATTTAGCCTAAAAATTTCTCATGGTGAAGATTTAAGTTGGATTAAACCAACTGATTTTCTATCTCTTTTATTTTTTAATTCAAAATTATGCTTATGGCATCCAATTTAATTAATGTAGGTGGTCACAATATATAGATTTACACTTTCTATGCCAGTGTGTATTGCCTTTGTCTTGTAATATAATATATACATAAGACTTCCATGAAGAAAAAATAAAAATGTTTTCTTCACTTGTAACTATTTTATTTCATATTTTAATTTTTACCCCTACTTTACACAAACCAGAAAAATAAGTCAGTAGTATACTAGTTTAAAATAGGGCATTCTGTTAGCATAGCAGAAAATTAAGACATTAATTTCTGTTAAGAATACGACAAGTCATCTCATTTACATGTCCAATGTGTTGTACATTACTAAATCCAGCTATATTTCATTGAAAAGTCATTAGAAGGGACATTTCATTTAGTTTCAAAGGAATACATTACCTTTTTTTTTCTTTGTTCCTGTGTGAAGTCTCACAGAGCAAATTGTGAATATAGATTTCTGGGTTCTGGCATCAACTGCATAATCAACTTTCAATGATAGGATGTTGATTCCTGGCTATATTGTCTTAAAATTTACACTACAAAAAGTTTAGCAAGTTCTACCTGTAACCTACAGACAACTTTAGAAAATTAAATTTCTTAAAGCAAATTATTGAAAGGTAACAATGGAATCTTCTCAAAGGAAGAAGTGTCGAATACTTTTTGAATGGCATCACCTCAAAGGTTCAAATGCATGAATGTTGTTCAACTGCTCCAAAGTTAATAAACATGAGATGATGAAAACAGGAGTTTTGTCTTTCTTTCTGATAAAATGTTTGTGTTTACAACTGGTGTAAATAAATAGTAGCATTCAGGCAGTACTGAGCAACTAATCCTTATGTACACTGAGTGGCTCCTAATAAATATATATAGCACTATAAACATATTACTCAGTTTGGTCTATGTTATGCTCTTTTTTCATTTTAAGCAACTTGTTCATTTTGTCTGATGAGATATGTTTACCTTTAAGCAACACACGATTAATGAAGTAAGGGAATGTGTATAAACTTATCTGGTCATCTATTTTAGTCATTAATATTCTTTCATTATAAAGTTACTTTGACAATGTTTCTGTGCCAGCACAGGAGGCAGACAAAATTGAAATTGAATTTCCAATCTTGGATTCATGAAATAAGCTTGTATGGATGTAACCAAGAGAAGTTTAATGTAAAGTTGCGGGGGGGGGGGGGGAATAAACAGTCAATGAAAAGCCAATGAGTTTTTGTTTTGTGTGTTGTTTTCAGCACAAGGAATCTAGTTTCTTACATACATGCTAAGAGTCTCAAGTAGTTTCTGATGTTGTAGAGGAGACAGAGATGAGAATTAAACCAAAAAGTGCATTGTTTTGTAAGAAAGTTGTCTTAATATCTATCTCTGAGACATTTACTACTACTTTCTTTAGAGTCTAATAAATGATATATTTCTGTTCCTTAAAAATGCATTTATTTAGTTGTAGTGGTCTCAGTAATAATTGTCCAAATTGACAGAAAAGAATACAAATAGCCAGCACAATCATAAAAGAAAGAATATTTTCTACATAAGTTAAAACAACATAATTCATTTTAACTTCCCAAGATACTTTTAAAAATATTTTAATTGATAGTTTAACAGTATATAGTCATCCCCAGGCAACACTGCGTGCAGCCGAAGAACTCACGCAAAACACACCAGAGATACGGCACTCTTGACTTCAGCTCTGCAAAGCCATTTGGATAGTCCTATGCCATTCAACTGCAACTGATTTGTCATCAATTGCAACATAAGCCTTAGGCATATAATATGTTAAATAAATGCCACAGTTTCTTTATGCTTAAATAGCTGTAATCTTTAAGCAGCAGAATAAGAAGATACATGTCTTGTTCTAATGTTCTTATCTTTTTTGTATCTAGAGAACAAATTTTAGACATAGCACTTCCAAAACAAACTAAAAAAGAAAACAAAACAAATTCTTCATTAGGAAGCTATTTGATAAAACATTAAATTTGAATAAAATAGTTTTATGTGTGCCTGAGTATGACAAAGTTTTATAAAAGGGATGTTCAACATGGTATTTATTAGCCCCATGTGGATCTTTCAATTAATTAGAATTAAATAAAATTTGGAAAATTCTGCTTTGCCATCACACTTGCTGCATTTCAAGGGCATAATGGTGACTTGTAGCTAGTGACGAACCATCATGGGCAGCGCAAATTAGAGAATGGCCACATCATCACATGAAGCTCTACTGGACATCACTGTTCTATTTTAATATTGTCATATGCGTTGTATTGCATGTAATACAGTTCAGAGAATGCAGTAGGTTATCCTATTACGTGCACCCTTTATTTTATAGTTGGGGGTAACTGAAGTCTCAAGAAAAAGTCACATAAGTAAGCAGTGATATACACACTTCTATGTGTTAGGGAAAGAAGAAGTAAGAGAGTCTAAAGTTCCCTTTGCAAACCACCAAATGATATTTAAGTAATTTGATTGCCACATAGAGTCTTCACATTCTGGTCATAAAATGATGTTTCAGAAAACGCAAACCAACTGTAACAGCATTTTAATCTTTAAATGCATGAATAAGTCATTTTAAATTTTCTGTAGGTTGTTCCCAATCAATTGCTTGACACTGTAGCTTCATTTAACTAATTATAATTTTTTAAAATTTTCTTTAATTTAAATGGCTTGTGAAATTAAGACCTCAGGGGTATGGGTGTTTGATTTCACTATTGATTAATGGGATGCACAATGAAAGGGTTTTAAGAAAACTCATGGTGCAGTCAACACACTGAAATGAATGAAGTATCTATCTGCCCAGGTTTCCCTCCCTTGCTCCACTCTCTCTGTAGGCTCCACCCTCATGCTTGCAGCCATCATGCACACAGTGTTATGATGGCACTCAGGGTCAACTTTTCATTTCTTTAAGAGCCACAGTTTTCCTTAAACAAAACCACATTTGAATTCTGTGACAGAAGTTTATTTTTAGACACTAAACTGAGGAGCTTGGCCCCTTTAATCCAATCTTCTTTTTATAGTGTGCTTTGGAAAGTTTTCATCACTGCCTTTTTTCTCCCTTTGTATATCTTTGAATATGTTAGTCTGGCAGCTCAAATAAGTATGCAATGAAATACAGTTTAGAAAAAATTTTAAACCTGGTTGAAGGGA